CCCCTTCTGCACAGAAATCCTTCCTCAGAGCCAGCCTGACCCTGCCCTGGGCAGCTTGAGGCCATTCCCTCGGGGCCTGGCGCTGGGGCCTTGGCTCCAGAGACTCATCCCCCCTCTCTGCCCCCTCCTGGCAGGGAGTTGCAGAGGGCCAGGAGGTCTCCCCTCAGCCTCCTCTTCTCCAGACTGAACCCCCCCAGTTCCCCCAGCCGCTCCCCAGCAGACCTGTGCTCCAGACCCTGCCCCAGCTCCGTTGCCCTTCTCTGGCCACGCTCGAGTCACTCAATGGCCTTTTTGGGGTGAGGGGCCCAACACTGAACCCCCTCAGCGAGGGGCGGCCTCCCCAGTGCCAAGCAAGGTGGGTGCACTCAGGTGTCCGTTATCGCTGCAGGAGCTGCCCAGAGGCCCCAGTTGCAGGTGAAATCTGGAATATGTCCACCGTGGGAGGGAGCTTCAACTCAGCACATGCTCAGACTTCATTTTGATGATACAATTTGGTAAAATTTTAATGGGCCCTAGCAGGGAGGAGGAGGACTGAGAGAACGCTTCTGACACAGAGGTCCCGAGGGAAGGAATTTCAGTCGTTGTCCAAAGTTGTTGGCCGTGAGAGGTGTTCTAAGAGATGAAGTGCTGCTTTTTATTGAGATGAACATACTGTTGCTAGAGTCTTTTAAATGTAATTTGACAAAAATTATGATGTTTACAGGTTGGTTTGCATCACTAGAGGCCTGATGCATATGTTTGATGTCAAATTCTCGGGTTTTTAGTGGCAGTGTTTTGTCTGCAGTAAATGGATATTTCAGTGATGGGCACTTCTGAAACTTTGATTTGCTCAGGGCAGATCATCCTCTTCACAACACAACAGTGTCTGAAGACTACAATTCAAATGTTCATTTGTGTTTTTAATACTTTCAAATGGCTGGTTTGAGTAATAGCAGTAATTTCACAGGTGTTGTAATAAGGGTGGGTTGCTGATAGAGCATAACGTTGATGAAATAACTTTACATCACGTACAGGCAACGACATCTGAAATCTGCTTCTACATGACGTGCCAGTCAGCAGTGTTGTCAGTTATTTAGATGTCTGCGTTATAAATAGTCGTATTACCTTTATAGGAAGTTCTGTTGCCATGGAACAATATTCTGTTTGTCATTTATAATACCTAAGGGTGCCTTCACTCGCCCAGGTTGCATAACTTCAACTTGTGTTTGCAAGCAGTCTAGCTCAAGCAGTTCACAAACCCAGGTGGACATGTCAGGCTTTGTATGTGAACATTTATTTCAGTTTATCTTACCCTTTCTTTGGTTGATTTCAACTACATCGGGATACGTAATTTTGAAGTTGCACCAAACTCCTTTACCACTGTTTGAACTGATTCAGTCAAAGCCTTAGTTAAATTTGTGCAACTTCATGTGTGGCTGAAGTGCTATTATACTTCACTTTGGTGTAGTCAGGTCAGTAAGGTTTTTATAGCTTTTTTAACATTTTTTGTGCAATTCATGCCCTGGTATAGCTCAGATGACCAACACAAAATGGTGTCAGGGAATATCTTACTTGAATAACGAGTAACAGACTCTGATCTCTTATCTTCAATCTCCCAGCTGTACTGATGGGTATGAAAATAATTTTGCTGAACTAGAGGGATGGAATTACTGTAGAGCAATGAACGCTGGTCATTCCGTTCGTCTGTGCTACTTCCTCGTCAATCTTTTGCCAGTGCTTTTAGTTGCTATAAATCTTTAAGTCTCAGGGAAAGATGTCCTAGCTGACATGATGATCTATCTATCTTTATTAAAAGGGAAGATTTTTTTAGAAAGTGTCTTCTCTGCAAGGGACAGTCCTAGTGACCCCACTGTCCTTGCCAGCTTGGGATGAGCTGTTCTCTGCCATCATCCTTCGTGATGCAGATGGCTCTCTTCCTCCTCCCCTCATTTCTGTTCCTCCTCCCCTCATTTTTGCATCTCCAAAGTGGGAATAACAAGACTTTCTTACTTCCTGAGGGTATTGTGATGGATGCTCATAACACTGTCTCTCATCTCCAGGGTGATCTTTCTCTCATCTCATAGCATCACAGAATCCTAGAATGGTGCCTTGAGCCCTTCCAGGGAGGGGGCAGCCACAGCTTCTCTGGGCAGCCTGTGCCAGGGCCTCACCCCCCTCACAGGGGAGAATTTCTGCCTTACATCTAACCTACATCTCCCCTCTGCCGGTTTAAAACTGTTCCCCCTCATCCTATCACTATATGCCCTTGTAGTCTCATATTCAGCCACTTGTCTTCAAGTTCATTACTCTTCTAAATGTACCTATTCATTTGAAATCATGAATGAACCAGCCTATCTAATATACCTACTTTTAAGCAGAGATCCTCAACAAGCTGTCAACCATCAGCGGTAACTCGTGCTCAGGTACAATTTCTAACTTGAAACCGGTGATGTGTGAACACAGAGCCACAGAAGTATGTCCTGTCCTGCAGATCGTGGTGTTCAAGTGGGAAGCTTCTTTAAAGAAGAAATGTGCATAAATAAAATAATGTTACTGTAAAATTAGATGCGTATGGAGCTGCGCAATGACTTGGGATAACTTCTGGTTTAGAAGAATAAAGTCGTCACCCGACCTTTACCATAGCCCTTGGTGTGCTGTCATTCCAGGGTAAAACTAGCAACATTTTACAGGGTTAATATAACGTATTTTCTTCTGGCTGTTTGAAGTTGGAAGGGACATTTAGCTTTGTGCTTTGGGAAGGAGGGGGACTTTATGTTCATGTAGAGTGGGAAACAGGCAAGAGGTACGCCCTGGGGGTTTAATAACACCTGAAGTCTTTAAGAAAGCCCAGAGTAGCTGGAATACTCCTCTTCTGCTCCTGATCAAAACCTGTGAGAGTCTGGCCCTTGCTGCTAACCATTTAAAAAAAGATTGCACAAACCGCTGTGTTCCCGTGAAGTACTTTTGCTGGTTATTCATGGACGTAATCTGTCTCGTGGATACTGTAACTATACAGCTCATGGAAGTGCTGCCTTTAATTTTCTGTCTGTAATTACAACACAGACCTTTAGTTTGCATAACGTTGTATGTAGGCCTGATCTTGCTAATCATGCTATAACAACCCGGGAGGCTCTACAGTTACTAGAATATGTCCAGTGAATTAATGTGTTTATTAGTAATTTTTAAAAATTTTTTTTCTGTTCCTAGAATTACTGATGGCATTAATTTTTTTCTTCCTAGAAGTGGAAAGCTAAATAACCATTTAGAAGCTGCTATACACGAGGCCATGAGTGAACTAGACAAAATGTCTGGGAATGTAAGTTTCTTTTCAGTTAGCAATAATTTTCTGTATTTCTGCATGGGTGTCAAATGAAGCCTGGGAATGTTGGTCTGGGTGGCCTTCTAAATTTTGTTTCTATTTTCTTAAATAAGTTTGAATTTTCAATATTTCTCCTGTATTAAAAACTATTTGCATGTGCCTGATCATCCTGAAAAATGGGAAAAGTTGTAGATTTTTAGTTACATCACCAGTTATATTACTTTTCACAAAGAGAGATTCCTGGACGTACTTTGATAATATTTGGATCAGTTCCCGTCCAGCTTATATTCCCTGAGTTTTCTCTGAGTAGTGACACAAAATCAGGCTCGTTTGTTTTTCAGTTTGAGTAACAGGATATTGAAACCACATTTAAAAGCATCATTCCTTTGAGTGTAAAACTCTTTAAAGAAAGTTTTTCTCACATGAAATGAAAGATAATGGCATGAAAGGTAAGTTAAAAAAAAAAAGTATTCCTAATGTCAAATCTAACAGTGTTCTTGCTACAATAATTACACTGTTATTATATAAAACAAAAACAAAATAGATATAAAATACAAAATATAAATAAAATACAAAATACAAAATTTGGTTTATATAATGTACTCATCTTCATATTTAAAACATGGCTGTAATTTCAGTGAAGCACACTTAGAAATGCAAAAAAGTCTCGCATAGCACATGTAACCTCCCAGATTTTCATTGGTAATTATTCAAATTATTATTTAGAAAACGCCTGAATACAGAAAAAATAAGTCTTTTTCCTGATATTCAGCGCTCAGTACTGAAGATGCTTGTACATGTGCACATTTAGAAGTAGTAGTAAAACTTCAGGGGAGCTTCAAGAGTATATAAAAGGAAACGTATACAGAACTGCAGACTTAGACCTGAATTCAGAACCACCAGGAGATGAGTTATTCAGTAGCTTTTAATGGCTGCTGTGTTAAAATAAAATCAAATCTTTTGTTTAAGCTTCTGAATGTTACAAAAGGAGATTTTGAGTTTTGATTTCAAACGACGTGTGTTTTCCTCTTGCCTTTGGAAGGAAAATGAAAGCAGGATCTGATTGTAGGTCTTTTACAAATAAACTTGTGTATGTGTTCGGCGTACACATCTGTGTTGGTTACACCAGACCTGCGTGGTCGGACGGCACTGTTCCTTTTTTATTTATAAACCCAGTAATACTAAAAACTGTATGCTGTGTGCATTTTAACTGTGATATAAACTGGCTCAGGGGAAACTGCTGTAATTGGATTTGCTGATCTGGTCGTTTCATAATGCAGACAAGCTGATGCACCAGCCTGCGTATCATTACACAGTTTGATTTATATTTTAATCATCTGGTCACAAATTTTGTGATCAGGGTTTAGTTCCATAAGGAGGATGGTTCCTAGAAACACTTGCAGGGAATCAGCAGCTCTCTTTTTAGTGACTTGCATTTTTTCCAGCAGCTACTGTTCAGGCAGCAGTCGCGTTCCAAATGAAAAGCAGATAATTAGTGGAAGCGTTACTGGTGCGAGACAGCCACCATCCAGGGTCTGAGGGAACTGAGGAAGGCTCCAAGGGGATCGGGCTGCCGAAGGGTTCGGTGTGGCGTCCCGAGCGCGGCTGGGGGCTGCGGGCGCCGGGCGCTGGCACAGCAGCCGGCTCTGCCGACAGGTGGTGGTGGAACACTGCGCCAGGCCCCGCTCCCGCCCCGAGAACCGGCCTCACGCTCATGTTACTCCAGGCTTTAGCTCACCGTGGAGTATCTCCCTTTAATAATCGGACAGAGCTTGGTCCTTAGTCGTGCTGCCGCAGACCTGACTTTGTCTTCTCTGATTTTTCCCTGCTAGCAATGTTGCCTGACCACTGCCTTCCTACTTTATCGCTCTTGTCGCAGCGATGTGTGAAGGTTTGTCTCTGAGAATTTGGCATCGTTGCAGTTCGGGGTTCAGTTCCCCGTTACGCGCTTTCCCAGTTACCTTTCTCCAGGGTAGCGGAGGTTTGAGATGTACCAACTGCAGCATCAAACTTCTCCTTCCCAGTGCCTTAAAGTTCTTAAAAGTTCCTTTTAATTCAGGCTTCCGTGTAGATGTGAAATAATAATAACCGTTTCATAACAGCACCTCAAGCAATCCTGTAGCTCATTTATTACTGGCTGGTTACTTTGACCAATTTTCTTTGCTAACTTCTAAATATACTTATTTTTAGGTCCACCAAATCCCACAGGGAGACAGACAAGTGAAGCCTCCAAAACCCAAGAGGAGGAAGATCTCTAGATAACATTGAATGTCTTTGTTACTGGTCCAGTACTTATCAAAATGAACGTGCACATAAGTCTATATGTAGGTATTGATATAGACGTGATTATATCAATATTTATATGAAGACAGATAGTTACCATCACAGGGTGCTACGCGGATTAGTGGTACAATATTTTTGATGATTAGGAGGGATAGCGGTTGCTGGATAAGCCAATCAGAAATCTTGAAAGGTTGCAGTAACAATGTCAGATGATTACTGAAATTTTTTTCTATAATACTAAAATTGTGATTATAAGAAATAGTCCAAATGTTTCTGAGAAATTTTCATTGTGTATATAGATAATACAGAATTTCATGGTGATATCTGAAATGTAAATATTGTACAATATTGTCATGTACAAGCGTACCTAATGCACACTTTATCTTTTATTGTACAAAAAATAGTGTACAAAATTCTTTGGTTTCTATTGAGTACACATACAAGAGACTACCAGTGTAAAGTGATAAATAAAAATACAGCCTAAATGCTTTTATATGATAATGTAAAAGATGCTGTTTTTGTATTTAACAGCAGAGAGAAGGCATGATTATGTAATACCTTAATTATGACATACACTTCACGCCACTGAGTGTTCATTGATACTGTCTGTTTGGAATGAACCTTGCCTGGAAGTACTGTACTCCATTTCAGGTCTCTGTAGGAGAGTGCAACCTTTGCAGATTCCTAACGGGATGTGGGATCACAGCTCTAATTAATAATTCAAAGGCTGCAACTATTGGTTGCGTTTTTATTTACTTAGCTTTTAAAGTAGAATGCTGTAGATTTTATTAAAAAGAAAAAAAAAGTAGATGGACTATTTTAGTCAACCATTTCTGTAGTTAAAGTTTCATAGCCACCTGATAAACTAAACAGTTTATATTCCCCCGTAACGTTGACCCCTCAAACCCCCTAGATTTATTAGCTTAAATTATCTAACGTCATTAACCATCGTGTTTACTTTTAAGGGGGCAGAGGCCCTGCTTTAATAATGTGATCAGTATTGATTACGGTTTGGTTTTGCAGTAGAATGAAAGGGCATGCTCCGCAGCGTTCGTAAAAGTAATTCCAGTATCCATCTTGCAGTATTAAAACAAAAAAATCAAGGGTGGCTTACAAAACTATTAGCAACAGTAATTTTTATCAGTATTATGTAACATATCAGATTTATTTTATTTAAAAAGAATTATTTATACCATTAACAGATTCTTATATATATTAATGTGGCTGAAATGTGCAGGTTAAATCTATTAACCAAATTATTTATGTTATATTAAGTGAGAAATGTGAAACATATGTAGAAAAAAATTAATACACTACAGATTTAAAAGTCTAAAGCTATGAGCCATTATAAAATTAACGAACGGAAGTGTAGCACAACATTATTTCCATTTTATTTCATTTTTCTTTTTAACACGGATGGTGGTGATGGTGATGGAAGCAGTGACATCCTCTGTCTTCAAGGCTTCCCGAAATAACTCCCAGTTCACCATTCCCGGTCCCGGGGTGGAGTCCGTAACCCCTACCTCTTCGTCCGGGACCACCGCTTACCTCAGATTTCCTTTTTTCCCCCCCAAACTCCCCGATCTCACTCTCTAGCTAAGGACTGGCAGTGATCAGCACCCTGGGAAGCTGGCGGTATCGCCACTCTCCAGATCCCCGGCACTCGGCGCCAGGATCCCAAGTCATTGCTCCTCTTCCCACCCGCCTTGCCCGAGTCCCAAACTCCTCTCTCTGAAGGACATGACCGAGACCAGCCGTCCCCGAGGACGACGGGACCCGGCGGCTGCTCTCCCAGCCTCGGCTCTGGCGTGCCCCAGCACGCAGCACTACCTCTGGGCTCGCCCCTGGGCTTCCCCTGGGCTTTCCCACGGCCGGCACCGCGGCTCCCGCTCCTCCTTCCCCCCAGCCCGAGGGATCGCAATAGCTGCACTGGCTACAGGGGCCTGGAGGCAGGAGCCCTTCCTTCCGCGGGGTAGGTTCATTTGTCTTTTCTGTAACGCCACCGTCCTCCATGCAAGCTCATGTGAAGTGATCGATTTGATTCATTTATTTTAATTTTTTTTTAAATCCTTTTTTTTTTAATTATTATTATTATTATTATTTTTCCCTTTGGGGGTGGGGCGGGGTGTAGTTTAGCTCCTGTTTTTTCTGTTCCGAGTCGCTGTGTTCGTTTCCAGAGTTGATGTTGTTTGTTCTCCACCCCAGCCCTCTCCCCTGCTGTCTGTCCGCACCCGCGTGGGTTTGATCAATCGCTCCGTGCGTGCGTGTGTCTGTGTGCGTGTGCGAGCGCCTGTCTCGATTTAGTTCCTTTCTCCCTTTGCTTTCTGTCCTAGAACTGAGTTTGTATTGACCGACCCTTCTTTTGGCATTTTAACTAATTAGGTTTGTACTTTCTCACCAATGTATACTTTACATCAGTAGACAATGTAAAGTATTTTTGTGCACTTGATTTCATTGGTTAATAATGGCATTGATGTGGGTGCTAGGAGTAGTTTGTTTCAGTCCATACCAATTTTTTTCTCTTTTAGAGGTTTTTATGGTTTCATGTAAGCAGTTAATGTAAATATTGTGAGCATTACAGGTCATGCAGTGTTGTAACATTTTAAAAAATGTTGCACCTACTTTACGATTAAAAAACTGGTCACTCATACTTGAATTTTGCCCATAGAGCCATTTCTTTCTCTTTGCATTAAAGCATAATATACTTTTTTGATGGAGGCCCAACCCTTCTTTCTACCTTATTATTTTTTGTTTAATAAATCTATATTTTTTCTAATAGAAGACTTAAAAATGAAAATTTAAAAAATACTTTTTGCCTACTTTCTAATTTAAGAGAGAATTCCTATATTTAAAAGGTGAAAAAAAAAAATACTCCATTGTGGAAAGTGGAACACCACTTTATTTGTCATTATTATGGCACAATCACACGAAACTGAACTGGCTGAGTAAAGCGAGCCCACGACGTCAATCAGTATCTCGGTAGATTAGGGAACTACGTGATTCTTTGAGGATGTAAAGTGTTGCATATTCTTGTCTATTTATTTATTTATTTATTATGCTTTCTTTTGCTAAGTGGGTGACAATGTGGTTGAGTCATTCAGATGACATACAAATTAAAGGAAATATTCCTCTTTCTATTATGGTGCATTTTGTGAACACCATAAAAAAAATATTTTCATTTATTTCAATGGATTTTCTTCATATTTTCACTTCTGACAGAAAACATTGGGCTGGTATCAGCTGCAAAAATAATATCCACGTAGTTTAAAAAAAAAAATCTAAAAAAAACCCCACCTCTGATGTCCCAGGTCTATTATCCTCACAGTCTAAGGTTTTAGGGGTTAAAAAGAACTTAAAATTTAAAGGTATTTCCTAACTCAGTTTTGCAGAAGGTTTATAAGTAATGTGATATCCTTTTGGAGTCCCTAAGTTTGATGGTATAGAGATATTAGAGGGCTCGTGGTGGACTGAATTACCTTAGGACTGCTACCTTTCTTAGCTACAGTTTGTATTTTGCTATGTAGGGTTGTAATGTGAGAATTCCAGAAGAGCAGTAGCATAAAAGTGCTTTTCTATTTTTTAAAAAAACCCATTCTAGTCTTACTAAGAATTAGAGATTTTTTTAATATCAGTTTTGTAATTTTTGATAAAGTTGTCAATATTATGATTAAATCACCAGAAAAAAAAGTTACTGTGATGTTCTCTTCGGGGCAGGGACTGTCTTCCTATGTATTTGTAAGATGCCACAATGGGATGCCCGGTCTTAAATGGGGCCACGGGCACCGCTATCAATTAAATAGCAACCAGCAACGTTGAGGTTGATTTAAGTGTATAAAAGCCAAGAGAATTCACAGTTAAGACCACGAATCCGATTACCTGTCCTTAGTTTGCTGCCGTGTCCTCCCTGAAGGTAACATCATCGGGTGCGACGTCCGACGGGTAAGTCGAGGAAGCTGATGGCTGTTGAAGCTTTTGCTCACACAACCCGGGACCTTCTCCTCCAACTCAAACCAGATCCGCTCCGTTAACGCAGCCCTTGGTCCCCTCCCTCTCTCTCTGCTGTTTTTACCACTACTAACTGAGCAACTCAACCTTCATGTTTCAGGATTCCACCAAAAAAAATACCATTAACCCGGCGGTTTAAGCACATCACTGATTTACAAAATCCCAAACACGTAAACAGATCATTTTAGTTCCAAATTCCCTGCAAGCAGAGTTCACGCTGGTGTCAAAACAACGTGAGAAAAACACTTTGAGAGTTGGGGAAAAGAAAAACAAACCTACTAAAAATAATTTATCTACCCCCAGGACAGGAGCCCGCAGACCCCCGCAGGCGTTTCTGCTGGCATCTCCGGACCTGGTTATCATGCACTAGAAGTTTACTGTAAAAGCACGAGCCTGCACTCGCATATTTCCTACAAATAGTGCTCAAACACAGAGGTTACACCAGGGGCTGCTGTTGTATCACTGTCACAAGTGCCACCCGAGCACACATACCCCAAAAAATCCTGCCAGCCTCTTGCGACCCCACGTTGCAAACTGTTACTTAAACTGGCATGGTAATAGGTTATATTTGCTTTGTGTTTGAAAGCTAAGCAGCAGGAAGCCAGGCCTCCATCGTTCATGTCTCTCTGCCAGGTTTTACAGATTATTTATTGGCTGTGAAGACTTCAAAGCAATTTTTGTTGTTGCTTTACTACCAAAAAAAAGAAAAAATCAGAGATTTGATTTGAAATATCATCCACGAAAACATGTTCTGGAGTGATTTCATCTGCCATGTTTTGACCTGCTGCGAGATAAGTATTTGTAATTGAGTGCCATCCCAACAGAAGATAAGGGGTTAGGATTTAGGACAGAAAAAATAAAGTATATATACATATATAAAAAAGGGGTTTTGGGGAAATTCCTATTTTGGAAAAGATATGGGAAATGGGAAGGGTTTTGATGTGGTTTCCCTGGATGAAGTGGAGCATCCCCATATACTCCTGGGTGCAAACCCCAAGAACCCATCAGCCCAGGTTGCCACGAGTCGGAGAGAACCACGCACGTGGGCTATCGGCCGGTGTTAAAATCAGAGGCGGGAATCAATACCGGTGAGTGAGCGAGCTGGGCCTGAGCCGCAGCTTGAGTCCGGCTTTGCGCAGCACGAAACCAGTTATGATGTGGGATGGGAGAACAAAGTCTGTGAGAGTCACGTCTGGTGGTGCAGAACATGGGCAGGTAAGTCCTGCGGGCGTTCATGATTTCACTCAGCTGATGACGTTAGTACTTACAAACTGTCATTTAAAACCAGCAATGGCGAGAGGCTGTACAGATAAGGGAAAAATAAGCATTCTCACCCTGAGGAAATGTCAAGGTGCCAAAATTAAGGCTGCAGTGCAAAAAAACCCAAAAGAACAGCATCCTAAAAATATGGGAGAATAAATGCTTTTGGTTCAAAAAATAGATGTAACTTCTCCTCAGCTGATTCCTGCTTTGTGCGTACCTATAACG